TAAGACGACCAATAGTGGGGATGTTATTAACTCTGAACCCTCGTGGGATTTGTTTAGCCCGATGGTAGTCCGAAAGAAACACCCCATGCAGGTCTAAATCTATTTCCTTCTTTTTCAATTTCAACAATTGGAAATATACATCTTTCACCGTAGTGGTATTAGGTAGTTCAGCTGTTGTAACATCCCACAGGATATCTTTAGTTTCCTCTTCCGTGAATTGAAGTGTCTGAGCTTGTAATTCTGTAGCCCCAGCTTCAATCAAAAAATTATCCATCATGCTATATTTCTCAAAAAAATACTCTATAGCCTAGTGGTTGGATAAAATAATCCAATTAAAAACAAAAAACAATGTGACATGTGGGCACCTTATTCCCACGAAGTCTTTTTTTCATCCACACACCCAAAAGAAATATACAATTAAACAACGTATTTCTTGTAAAACAGATCATGTCATTTACAAACTGTCATGTCCATGCGGATTAAACTACGTTGGGAAAACGGATACACAACTGTGCGAAAGAATAAGGGGACATCGCTCAAGTATACGTATGGCGATCAGAGATGGTACCACGGACAAACCGGTGGCTCGTCACTTTCTTGAACATAAACATCCACTGACATCACTGAAATGTATAGCCATCGACCACATTCCAATATCTAGAAGAGGAGGAGATCGTTCTAAGGCATTGTTGCAAAGAGAGACATTTTGGATACGTGAATTGAATACTATGGCTCCCATGGGCCTCAACGAAAAATTGACATTTATATCGTTTATTTGAGTGGTTGGATTAGTTACTATATTGATTTTATTTTTTATCTGCAAATATGTGTACAGTATATATTCCCAATTTATTTGATATAGATTAAATTACAGGTATTTGTTCTATATTTGATATTTAGAACTACTTAAGGGAAGGTTGTTTTCTCCACTCCTTAGTATCTATTTGTAGTTCAATAGGGACATAATTATTTATAAGTAATACTTTGTCTCAAAATTCTTAAATTTGGGAATGATACTGTTACACAGCAGAATATATGTTATTATATTTGTTATTTAGGTAGTAATTATGTATCATATTACACTGTAACCCCATAGTAGCATAGTGTTTTCACTTACTCAATCATTAGATAGCATGTAAATATATGCACATGTCACTTTATTATATTATCACTGTTAGTTTTTGTATATTTCAGCACTTGCACTTTTCTTATGAGGTAAATTAATTTTCACCTCTTTTCATCACACCTTGCAAGCATATATTATGAAGAGCACTTATATAAGTAGCACAAATTGATGTCACTTTACTAATGAGCATACACTGCTAATAAGAGAATATGTATAGATTTGCTGGCTTTGTTTGCAGCCAGCTCGATATGAGCATGAAGTTGAGGAATCAGCACTGAGCACTTTTAATTTACGTATATGTTTACGGATCGCTGTCCTTTGCGATCTGTTTACAGGTATCTATGGTGATGGGTAGGCTGCACTTTTGCACCGGAAGTAGTTAAGCGGATTGCACGCATGCGCAATGGGGAACAGACCACGCCGGTATACAGGTGGGGGTGATTTGGTAAGTTAGCTTTTTCTTATTTAAACTGAATATTGTATTTTGTATTTTATGTCCTGATGAAAGTCCACGACGATGGACTGAAACGTTGACCTCTTGACCAACTGGATTAAAAGGTTTTTTGTATCTTTTCTAGCAAACTTAAAGTCCTTGAGTGCTGACTATTTTTTTATATTTATATATATATAGACCTGAGAACAGCAAGTAGCTTAAATGCCACTGGACATCCAGGCACCCTATTGATATTATAATGTATGCAGGTGAGTATTGCAAAAAACATAATAAAACTATATTAAGCAAGATCAAAAACTAATTTGCGAGTATGAAGTAAAGGATCACACATTTTACAGAACCTAGTGCATAGTGTCCATGGCACGTAAAACCGAGCTCAAGCATTGGGCCCAGCATCAAGATCAGCCGATCCCTATCAGCGGTAGTGATGGTACCTGTTTAGGAAAGTCGAAAGTATGGCATACCAGGGTATTCCTCCAGCCCCAGGCCTGTGTGAGGTGAGGGCCAGCATCCTTGGTCCACCGACTCGACTTCTCTTCTGTACCAAGTCAATCTCCCTTTCGGGGTGTGCAGAGGGTTGAGGTGCTAGGCGCCTTTGATGGCGAATTATCCTCCGCTTGTATGGCAGAGGCAGTGGGGTATAGCCCCGGGGGGCACTCGGCCCAGGCAGGCGGACATGAGGGTGAGTATTCACTTGTGAGCAGAGGTCGCCCGAAGGGGTCCTGTTCCTCCTCTTCAGCGTATTCCTCCCAGAATCTTACCAGTAGTTCGACTGGGTAGCTTATGACCTCTCCTGAATTTTTTGCCAGAAGGCTCAAAACACCTCCTCCAGCCTTAACAGGATGCTGTCCGAGGAGCCTCCCAGAGGACCGTGGGCTGGATGTATATTTTAATTATATCTTACTGACTATCTACATTTTATTGAGAGTACTATCGTTGCCCTTTTTTAAAAAAATCTATTTCCGGGTTCCTGATACCATCACTCTCAAGAACACTCACATCTTAAGTGGAGATTATACTGCTGTACGCCATACATGCTAGAGCTAGTTTAAGCTCTATTAAATGTGAGTTCATCTTTATTATTCTATTGTTTTATCTACTAAAATGAACATATTACACTATTAATTTCTCTGTCTTTTATCGTTCCTTCCTATATATACGAACATCTGAGAAGCACAAAGACTACCAAATTCTGGCTTTAAAGACCCACGTGGTAGCCAAGTATTTATAAAAGACTTTCTTAATCTGGGACTATATATATCATATACTTTGTACAGCGCTTTGGAATTTGCTGGCGCTATATATATAATAAAATAATAATAATAAACTTTTCATTGCTATATTGTATTCCTGTGGCACAGCCCTACTCCAATTTTGTAATTTTCTATTAGTGACCTGCACTGAAGCTACATTTACAGATGTCTTTCTGTATTTGTATGAAGTCACGGTCACTTACTGTGTTGTTGATAATATTGTTAACATATCTTGCTGGTCAATACTCAATGCAGATTTTTTTTTTTTAAATAAAGGTTACCTACCATTTCTTAGTTCTATTTTAATTTAGAAAGCAGTGCCATTTCTGGGGTCCTCCTTTGGGGAACACTTTATGTATGTGTTTATGTCTAAAATGGTTTACATGAGATAGTTGGGATAAATAAAATGTAATCCACAAGGTAGCCATAACTGTGTGCAGCAAAGTCTAAAATTATTTTTTAAGATTATAAACAAAACATTGCTATGTGCTAGGTCTATATAGACAATGGTAACAGAATGCTAACCATTCCCATGCATTTTTGCCAATGTGGGTACTTCCTATGGAGAAGGAGGGATACTTTCTGATGCTGTGGGTACAGTAACAAACGAATATCTCGGAAAAAATGAATCTGCACTACTTGATGCCCTGGTGAGTGTCATTACTGTCTAAGTTCTGGTTCAGTAACACAGTGATAGAAATTTATATATTTTAGTAACGTGACAAATTATCTACGAAGTTCAATACACTGTAAATAATATTACGCTACATTTGTTCTCCTTTTTATTGTGCCATTATTCCAGGTATTTTAATATGCATACCGCGAGCGTAATTCATAGGACATTAATGCATTCTAATCATTCTAAAGGCATTGTCAGCAAGGACATCGAAACAGGTTTTCAGATTTGAATCTACTGGAAAACCCATTACTACAAATATTACGCAAATCACAATTTTATGTAACAGGAAGCGTGTGCTCCATGAACACTTCCTTGAGTGTGTATATATTATTATTTTATATATATATATATATATATATATATTACCAGAAACATGGATCCTATATGTTTGCTGTTTTCTTAGATTTTTTTTTTTATTATTATTTATTTTTGACGTGCATAAATTAAATTTCAGCCTGTGCGGCCACAACAGCTTTAACAGGCACTATAACATCAGGCTTCGTCATAACATTTGAGAGAATTGAACTTTAAAAAAAAAAAAATGAGATTAAACAATAACAAATAACAGGTTATTATTTTAGAGGCACTTGGAAGGCGATATATGAGGCTGCAGAATTTGTGTGTCAGGGCTCATAGATAGGGTGGTCGATTGACCCTGGTATGATGGAGCAGAGCCATTATAATTTGTATGTGAATTGCAGTTAATTGAGTTGTGTACCTCTGTGTAAAGTGAGCGTGAGATGTATAAGCCATGTAGGAGGCTCTTTTAGTTATCTGTGAGAAGAGGGTTAAAAACATGGTGCTTGCCCTGGTGAGCGTTGTGTATGGGTAGGATGGTCTGATGTGGGTCCGAATGTGTGAGTAAATAGCTCCACCTTGGTGTGCGTGTTGTGGGTTTACATGATGGGAGCTGGGGGGTATTAGCTAAGAAATGGAGCCAGCGTGTCCAGGGTGTATGTTTTCTTAGATTTTAATAACCATTAATAACATGGCAACTATGGCCAGAATGGGCACAAATTATCACTGAGTTTTGTAATTAAAATTCCTTTCTGATTATTTTGGACTCTTATCTTTGAATAATGTATTTTCAGTTGTAGACCATCAATAGGTGCTGCTATTTTGGGTGCTAAGGAGCAGTGAGTATTTTATTTGTAGGCTGGCCATACCAATTGCAAAGTATTTCAATCAAGAAAGTCGGGGTGCGTACATTACAGTTCATCTGGGGCACCAAGAACTATATGTTTATTTGTATAAAAGTTACATTTTCAATTTCAGCCCTTTACCAGTACTGAACCAGACGAATTTCAATAATGTTTCTATTCTTTTTTTTTTATTCTTTATTTTTATTGTGCAAATATTAACAAAGAAGCTTGATACGCCACGACAGCTATAACAAGCCTAGTAAAAACAGGCAAAATATATTATCAGCATGGCCTTCATAGAAACTGCACATTTTTTATATTGAAATAATAACAAAATAAAAGACTTGTGTAAACTAAACTTGTATGGCACATAGAGTAGTCATGCATATTTTTAGGAAATGTATAGAATAACTTACGGACAGGCGAATCTAAGTGAAGTGCCAGAGAGAGACATGCAATACAAGCCGGTTATGCGTGGTACATCTCTAGTATAAGGGTCTACAGTGTGCTAGGGCAGCTACATAGAGTAAGGAGTACTAAAGAACATGCTAAACTGTGATTATAATATAACCTGCTTAGTGTGTACTAGACTGCCTGTAATTGATAGAAACAATAATGGTACCACTGGACAGAAGCCACCGAAGTGACATCAACAAAACAAAACTAGATGATTGCCCGCTGTTGAGAGATTTAACAGGGTGAGACTGCAAAATTGGGCATACAAACAATAGCTCGGCACCTAAGTAAAGCGGCCCCTCACAAGAGACCGCCAGACCACCCATACCCCCAGTTCGTCTCGTGGGAGATTGCAAAGTAAAGTCCCAGCACATTGTCAGCATAGTGTGCTCAATACGAGCCGTATCCCCTCAGGTCCGGTCCTCCAATGAGCTGTGATGGTGGTGGTTTACTGGTGGTCTTAGCATTGGCGATCACCCTCCAGGGTATAGGGCCACAATGAAGATTTCCACTCCACTTGGCTTAAGGCTTGGGTAAGCAAGAGGCAGCAGCTGGGCACAGGTGTCAAGTGTGCAGTTTGTCCACAGACTCTCACAGACTCTCCAGGATATATTGGCTCGGTAGCGAGACCTCTTGGCCTGAGGTATAGCTTGGAGTGTGTCAAGCCGTCTCCTCTCTGTGGGCTGAGTGGTGGGGCCGATCCAGTGGGAATCACTGCGGGGGCCATCTTAGTTCCAGGACATTGGGGGCAGTCTCAGCCAATCTCACCGACATCAGCCCCGGACCGGTCCTGCTGGAATCGGGATAACCCCCTCCAGTCCAAAGGAAGGGGGGGAGTCTGTGAGGAGTATTAGAGATCCATTGTGTGGCAGTCAGGTAGGTGAACAGGACGGCGGCCGCCTGTCTCGCTCTTCCCCTAAGTAGGCCGCAGGCTCCAAAGCTTTGTGTAGCCTGGGAGGGGGCCAACGAAACTCCCGATCTAGGAGTCAGCAGTGGTGCCAGTAACTGCCTGTGTACTGTACTGTTCCTTTCTGGCTTATATTATTGTTAAAAGCCCAGATTACCAGCCAAAAAGGCCTGAGTCTGGAAGAGCCTCTCCCGCATGCGACCGGTCAGCATGGCGGTCAAACCCTGCCCCCCCCCCGTTTCTATTCTTCTTAAACACGTGTACTTATGTCAGCAAAAAAGACATACAAAATTATTCCACAATCAAACTCAACAATACACCTATTTAGTGCCTCTACACTAAATGTCTAGGCGCATCCCTCAATTAATTTAATCATAAACAACACAAGGAGAATTCTATATTTAAAGGACATCTTTCTACTCAAAACTATTATATAATAAACCTTAAAAAAATTTTAAAATACTACTTTTAGTATATGACAGGATCCTTCAGATATGTACATGGATCTTGGGTGAGACAATGTTTTAAAACCGACAATTACAGGGTTATCGCTGATGTGGGAATTCTAGGTAAATTTAAATTTAAAGGGTCCAACCACTATGACCACCTCTGCTTTTTGAAGTGGTTATGGTGATAGGAGTCAGTAAGTGTAGTTTTTTAGCTTGAAACACTAAACATACTGAGATATTGGTATTTGTGTGCTGAGGGCTAGTTGCACCCTCGGCACATGTGACTTTGGCAGCCCGTAACTCACTTCCAGGCTACCAAATGTAATTTCTGTGCATAAAACACTTCCGCTGTCAGCGAGCACTACAAGCTGGCAATGAGCATTCTAGTCACCGTACAGATTTAGGTGCTGCCTAAAAAGCCCAGCTACATACAGATTTTAGCCAATCACAAATAGGCTTTATTACATGTGAGTTTATTATCAAAACACTTTATATGTTCACTATTTTTGTTTACACTATTTGATGTTCATTTTGTTTTTCATGTGCACCCTGTGATACATCTGCTTTAACAAATCGTTAAGGGTAAGCGTAAAAAATATTTAGAACTCAACAAATTTTTGGGGGTAGTTTCACTGAAACTGCATTTTTTTGTCAATATCTGGGTGTGGGTTTAAGGAGGTATACCTGCATGACTGTTTTGAGCACCTTATCGCACTAGTTTAAAATAAGCCATTGGTAACACATACTTTCTTTATTTTTTGTGAATAATATATATTTTTTTCTGGTGATAGAACTATAGCCTGCCATATAACCGCTATAGAAAGCTTGCGTGTTTACACACTAATGGTTTTCCCCATCCACTCTAGCTTTGATCATTCTTACAGCATCCGTTTAGGCTGTCACACTCCTTTAAGTGATTTATGTTTGTGTTAAAAGTGTTTCATACCAACATCCTGGGGACAATTACCTCCTTTACAAACATCCTGCGTAACCGTCCGATGTCCTTAAATAAAGGAAACCCTTATTGCAAGAAAATGCTTACCTCATTCATTGCCAATGAAACATGATATCCTGGGGACAGAACTGTATGTCTGCCAGGACTTACTTCCCCCAAAATGGAAAACATGCCAAATGTTGCAATTTCATTTTCTTATCATAATATCTCAAGAAAATCCAAATTTTATATAATTATTGGTTTTCAATACACTGAAATTTTGTCTTTAGTAAACAAGCCCGTCTAGTATAAAAGGTTTTGCCACAGTTTGGATGGCCTGTCTGATCCAGCCCTGCATGTGCTTCATTGCCCCCTTGAGCTTACGTTGCATTACACTCCTCACTTACCGACTGGGTTCCGTTCTTACGACTCGGTTGTAAAACAAATTTGTCAGTAAGTGAGGATGCGCTACAGAGCATGCGCACCAGTGCAGGTCTATGTTCGGGGAAATTTCCCCGAAAAAAAAGACCAGCGCACCATACAGGGAATTCCTCCAATCTCTGTCTGGGGAAAATTCCCCAAACATAGACCAGCTCTGTAACGTGGGGAATTCCTCTAATCCCCGTGCTTAAGAACTAGTCGTAAGTCTGAGCAATCGTTAAACACTACAGGTTAAAGTGAGGCCTACCTGTACTGCCCTACTACATTCCTTACCTATACTAAGGGCTGCTGTCCATTTGGCATGTACTCCTGGGAAGCGGATTTGAAAAAAGAAAAAGCCTGTGTCAAGATCTATTGTAGTTATTATATTCTTTTAGACATATTTTATATCCAGACCTGTTGAGATTATATAAATTACTTTATGTTATTATAATTTCCCTTATAGCAGCATTCTAGACAGTTTTAGTGAGAGACATTCTGGTAGTGTATGCAAAACCTGTGCAAGGTTTCAGGGGAAATATGAGAGTGTAGAGAGTAGATCAATTTGAAACTTCTTATTCATAGGAAAATCAGAAAGAGAAGTGTGAGTTCACAATAATTTCTTATTTTATAAGTGCCGAAACCAATGTATCTGTGCATGTTAACTCTTATCTTATAATTGTGCAGCACTTCAATTAATAAAAGAACAAGGATTGGAATTTAAGCCATTTTCTGGTGGTAGAACATTTAGGTGTTCTGAAATTTTATTTAAACTGTCTTGAACTGTTTGGAAAAAAAATAAAGTGAGGACTCTCCCAGGTGACCGGCCCTTGTAGCCTGCCTCTTTGCAGCCTCTCGGACATTCTTCAATATCTGTCTAAAGCCGTGCATGAAAGACAATAAACAGCTGATAGGCCGGGCAGTGCGTTTTAAAGATAACTCAAAGTACGCCCTATATGTGTAGCTGTGGAGGTGCTAGGTTAGGAGCCAGGGTGAGGACTGGGTTTATCAAACTACTTGAAAACAATTAATTACAATACCAAGGGACAGCACCATAGGACTGAACACTATAACAACTGCAACAAGCTGTAGTAATTATGATGCATATAGTGGTTTCCTTTCATGTAATAATATCAATTTGTTATTTCATAACTTACTTAAAACCGTGAACTGCTTTAAGTCTGAAATAGGAAAGAAAGCACTATTTAAATTAGAATTATTTGCAACTAACTTCTAGAGCAGTGGATCCCAATCTTTTCTTACTTGAGTAGCCCTTGGCAGCCCATTTGCACAAATTGTACCATTCCTATTAGCAACATGTTTGTAATTAATATAGTTGCTGCTATTTCAAATATATATGTTTTTCTCTGCCCCAGGCTCTCCCTGCTTCTCCTCTATCTCAAGCTTCCCCCGTTTCTTCCCTGCCACATGTTCGCCTGCTTTTTCCCTGCCCTATGCATATATATTTTTTCGATATATTCTATATTCAGTGCAGATACACACAATGACACACATGCAGATACACAGACACACACATGGACACACATATAGATACACAGTGACAAACACTGACACACATACAGATAAAGTCATATGGAAACAAACATTGACATATAGATACACAGATACACATGCAGATACACAGACAGACAGATGCAAACACTCCCACAAACACAGACAAGCACAGATGCACAGATCCAAAAAACTGTCACACATTCATACACACACACAACCGGATACAAAGCACTGGTAGATATACAGATACACACAGACACACTTACAGGTATACAGATACACAGATACAATGACACACATAGATACACAAACATATAAATACACACTGGCACACATTTAGACAGACATAAACAAACAATGAGACACATATAGACACCCAGATACACACACTTACACATATTCAGATGCACACATACACCGACACATGTGTAGATACACAGACACACAGATACAAACACTGACACACATACAGATGTACAGACATACAGCTATAATGACACACACACAAATACACAGATATACAGATGCACACTGGCACACAAACAGCTACAGACATACAGGTACACACACTGACACACATGCAGATACACAGATACAAACACTGCCATATATACTGTGACAGAACAATGGTTGTTACTGATACAATGACACCCATCCACACATACACAGACATACAGATACACACACTGAGACATATACTGACAAACAGATACAAACACGGACTTACATGTGGTTACAGACACACTTACAGATACATAGATACAAACACATGACACACATGCAGATACAGACAGACAGAAACAAACAATGACACACATATAGACACCAAGTTACACACACTTACACAGATACACAGACACATAGATACAAACACTGGTACACATACAGATTTACAGCCACAATGACACACACACAGATACAGACATACAGATGCACCCTGACACACAAACAGGTACAGACATACAGATACACACATTAGCATACATATAGATTCACAGATGCAAACACTGACATATATACTGTGACAGAACAATGGTTGTCACTGGTCTGTCATTATGTCAGACCTATGTTGTTCCTTGTTTTGCAAAGATGCCAGGGACTATAACCATGTTCTCCAATTGCTTTATGTGCAAAGCATAATTCTAAAGGCAAAGCAGACTCTGCAGACTTACATTGTAAACAAGTTAGAGGCAATGGCTGATGATGTACCCCCTGCAGTGCAGGAATGTCCTGGTTACACAATAAGTGGACAGAGTGGGGTTTGTTAATTGGATTATTTGTTTTTACCTCTGTCTGGAATTACCTGTACCTGATGCCTTTTGTTAATTATCAAAGAAAAAAAAGTTACCTGAGCTCTCTCCTTAATCCCTATGTATATTTAGACAAATGGAGGTCATTTAGTTGCTCCAATGGCCATTGGAGGAAATGCCCGCCTGCCAACGTCAAGGCAGACCCCCCTAAAGCGGGTCCTACACTGACCCTTCAGCCTGCTTCCTTGAGCTTCTGGCAAAGATATCTCTAATGAGAGGGGTATTTTTTATATACACCCCTATATACTTATTAACCCTTAATTGGGAACACATGGGATGGGCGGCAGCATTGTAATAAGGCTGTGTGATACAAAGTAAATACAAATACAAAAAGATAAGTCCTGCACTCACTCCCATTACTACTGGGCCGGCAGCAATGACTACAGTACACATCAGCCCCAATATATAGTAAAAACCAAAGAAAAGAAAAAGTTAACTGCGCTCTCTCCTTAATCTCTATGTATATTTAGACAAATGGATGTCATTTAGTTGCTCCAATGGGAATGATGCGTACTGTAGTCATTGCTGCCGGCCCAGTAGTGTTGGGAGTGAGCGCAGGACTTATCTTTTTGTATTTGTTTTTGTATTTTGTTAATTATCATTTGATATTTTTAATAACATTACCTGTTGTTTGTTGTACCTGATATTGAATTACCTGTTTTAAATTAGGCTCTCTAATGTTTGAGATTTACCATTTTATAATTGATTTAATTGTCCCCTCGGCCTCTGGTGTCGATTGTTGTTTGTGATATTTGGAGATCTGCTATATATTCTGTCTATGAACCAGAATAAAGTATGTTCATGATTTACCTAAAAGGAGCTTTTGTGTCTTCTGAAGCATCCAGATCTATTGCTGTTTGTCGTCCAATAAAAGAGTAGTTACTCATAGAGAATTGCCAGTGGACTAGATTCATAGAATATCCTATATGAACCAGTGCTGTCTGTGCAGTATAGCCGGTGGATATACGACTCAAAGTATCAAAGTACTGGATCTTAGTGCCTACTATAGCAGTTAGCTGTGCATGTTAGCAAAAGAACCCCACAGATGATAACGTGCCTGAACTGCTACACCTTATCTAGCAGAGTAGCCAGGGCCATATCGTCACACATACAGATAAACACACACACACACTGACACACATGTAGATACACAAACACACAGATACAAACACTGACACACATACAGATACACAGACACACAGATACAAACACTGACACACATGCAGATGCAAAGACATAATGATACAAACAATACCACACATGCAGATACACAAACAGTCACTCACAAAGACACATACAGATACAGACAGACAAAAACACAAATACAGGTAAATATTTTAGCCACCCTCCAGTTTCCTATCTTTTCGGTGCAGGAAGGTGACTTTTGCTGACTGGGGCTGTTGGCAGTTAGGGGCTTGCTCTCCCGGTCCGCCACCCACCTCCTCTCTGCCTTCTCCTCGAACTCCAGTGCGGCTCAGTCTCTATTAGCTGGGAGGAAGTGGCAGGCTCTCACTTGCTCCCTGCACTGCCATCATTAAAGGGGCCCAGTCACACCGTCAAAGCACTGCAGCTCACGACACATGTTCATCGGGTAACCCTAAGTACGTGGACCAGCCAATTGGCCCCCTCAACCCACGGTTCAAAACCTGTACGGTGAGGCTGCACTTCCACCATTACTTATTTCTTTTTTTCTGTACCCCTGGTGGTTATGGTATCACAGGTTGGGAATTCCTGTTCTAGAGGTAAAGTGTATTGAAGTACAACTGTGTGACTGACACAGATATGGCGCATGTATGCAATTTATTCTGTTCCTTTGCTGTCTATCAAAGAAGCCAGTTCTGGCACACACACCCCTTCATTTTTATGTTGCACTGGCTAAAAAAACAATACTCCTTAATCTAATGTTTGTGTTTTGTTTTTGGCTGTTATATATAGCATTGCACCACATTAAGGCTTTTATTATACTATTACTAGGATGGGATGAGACGTCATTTGCATTGATCGTTTTTTTAAGTTTGCTCAGGGTGTTTTCTGGTCACTGGAGTAAAATCTTAGGATGTAATCTTTGAATGGTATATATGGGAATTCCCTCAGAATTTCCTTTGTTTGGTTACTAAACATTTATTATGTGCTTAATCTACGTCAGTTCTTTGTTTCCTCATTGAGAAGTTGCATCTGCCAGAGCCTTAAATACAGAGAATTGCACACTGTGAGGACACTGCAGAGGCCAGTTCCAGACTTTCAGGGCTAGGGAGAGCGATATCCTAACGGCAAGACACGGAGAGTCAGTAAGTAAATACCTGCTTTTATTCTAACACATAATCACTTTCCTCTGTCTGTGCCTTCCTATCATTACATATTTTCATATCTCTGCTACTTGCTACAAATTCAATTACAAATAAAACAAGTTCTTATATGGATCGCAGAAAAGTATTGTGAAAGTTTTCAGTATGTCATTACAATGGAAGATGTTAATTGTTTTTCTAAAATTAACTTCTGTCCTTGAGCACTATATTTTGGATTTATTCACTAGACCAGGAATTGAGCGAGAAATCTTAGGTTCGAAAACAATATCTGCAAAAATATCATGGAGCGATAATTTTCCCATCTCTTCTGTTTAGACCTAAACTTTGCAATTCTCTTATAAATTCTTCGCAATTTACAACTCATCAATCTAAATAAATCAGAACCCTGTCCACCTAATCTAATTTTCACAATGCGGTAAGGATTCAATGATCAGTTATATATGAATACATTAAATAGAAATACTCTTTTTTTTTTTTTTTAACTCATTTGTGATCTGCACGTGCAGCATTTTAAACCCATAGTAAGAATTGGTTTTAGGGAATATGTTCACGTTTGTATATTATGTGTTTCCACAAAAAAATTTAAATAGGTTCATATTGTGATGCACTTTATTCACATTTTATTTTCAAAATATAATTTTACTACAATGGAATAGAATATTGCTGCTGTTTTGCATTGTTTTTCTCTAAAGTTTGAATACAAACAGATTTTAATATTTAAGGTTAAAATAGCCAAACTGGAAAAATTCTCTGATACAGCTATGCATTCAGTTCGGCTACTCTGGACTTCAATTTGAAATTCACTTTGAATTCTCACTTTAGCAAATCACCCTGTTAGTTTTGAAGTAATCGCTTCCAGTATACATGCCAGAGGATAGTAGCTTCTTATGTCTAGAAACTTTTCCAGCTCTTATAATCTTCAACTGGCAAAGACAGTTGAAGATCATGGCACTTGTAGTGCAGCACAAGCTGGAAGATCATATTTTAGTTATTCCTGGTTCATATTATTTTTAAATGCAAACAAATAAATAATAGATTCTATCATTATTATTATTAGAATTATTATTATAGCGCTAGTATGTTCAACAACACTGTACAATTTTACAAGAGATAGGGTTATTCATATAAAGGTACACTCCACTGCCCATATTATAAAAATACATATATCACTGTTTAGTATACATATCCCCAAAGCAAACATGCATGTATTTAATTATGCATTTTTTTCCATTGGTGATATATCTGAAAACAGCTTGATAAACCTGCAGATCTCTTGTATGTAGCCTTTACAAGCCCTTCACCTTCTAACCCCGTCCAGACTTTCTGTGGTTGTCCAATCACAGACTTCCCAATGCACCTCCATGAGATGTCTTTGCAAGGCAGGTGCTCTGAGAAACTGCAGTCTCTTGAATTTAGCTCCACTGCTTACAACCAGAAAGAAACAGGACCGGTTGTCTGATTGACAGACTGGAGGTGTAAAGAGGTTAATTCATAAAAGTAACCAAATTACAATAGAGTCTGACAGGTGCCAATAGGCATGTCACACACAAATAAGTCCCCCCACAAAATATATGAAAAATAATACATCTTTAATAGGGTAACATTAGAAAAAATATGGTAAGGGAACTTGTAACACTGACTAGGAGACAATCAAGCTGTACTGTATATAATTACTTCTAGAATTTGCTACATTTCAGTTCCTCTCTGATATCCAGCCTATTTTAACTGATGTGGTGGGTTTTTTGGTATGAGTCCACTTACCATATTTGTTTGCTATTGTTACCCTATTAAAGATTTATTATTTTTTTCATATTTTTTGGGAGAGACGCATTTGTGTGTGACATGCCTATTGGCACCTGTCAGACACTATTATAATTTGGTTGTTTTTACAAATGGGTTACCCCTTTACGTAAGTCTCTCTAGCCGACTTATTAGTTCTCACTTCAGTAGAAATTTTTCTATACTAATTTATAAAAGTACCAATTTGTATTAAAATTTTACTTTTTGTAAAATGGAAAAAAAAGAGGACACACTCTTCGCATATAAGCACTTCGGCCAGGTACCTAGAATATTGTGTCCACAAATGGAAACTTTCTAATAAAGGAACACTGCAAAAACCGTACCCACTGCAGCCCAGTGTATTGCTTATAGTGCCAGGAGTACTCTCCCAAAGTAAATAGCAAAACTGGGTTCAACACTTACATTGGTCCCACCAATGCCTCCTCCACTACTGAGGAGCTACTGTTAGCTGCAATGAGCTGTTTCATCGGGTGAGAGTGTCAGCTGATTGATCTCAGCAAATTAAACCATTAAAGTGCTTAGTTACTCACTTTGGGAACACTCCCAACCACTTCATCTCTTTGTAGTTGTTATGGTGGCAGAAGTGCCAAGGTTAAAGCAGTTTAAAATGTTTAACCCTAAAGTTGGTCCCCCCATCAGCTCCTACTAATCAGTCAGTGATAGGTTGAAAGCATATCCAAGGTTGAACCCTGAGGAGAATATATCTTCATCCAGGGTGACCACATTTATTTTTTAAAAATCACGGTAATTTCATGAATAGCAGCGGTCAGCTTTTCCATTTTAATGAAAGACCATGTCTTATCATTAACTGTGTTTGAGTTGAGAAGGTGGCCTCGCCCAGGATAGGACCTTAAAATGGAGCTCACAATATTAAGGAGCTTGGCAGACCAAAAAAGCTAGGTGTGCCTGGAAGAACATTTCCCCTGACTAGGAGGTGTCGAATTGTGATCATTTTTTTCACTGTGTATATGTGGCAAAAAAAATAAATACATTTATACTGGTTCCACTGAGTCAAGAGGTGATCTAGATGTGTAAACATGGGTCCATAGTTCTGCACGGGATGGTCAAGTTGACTTTTCTGTCTTTTACGTGCCTTTCAAAGAAGACAAACAACATCAAGAGAAAAGGATATTTAGTAATACATCATTTTAAGTCAATGCAGATTAGCTGGCTGGCATTTTCATCCAATAGTTATCCCCTATAAAATAAAACAATGTTTAGTGACTATAAAATGCCCAAATAGCTTAGCCCAACCCAAAGGTATGTTACGAAATACAGACTTCCAGAGCAGTAAAACTAGACAGGCCCAATAACTTTTAGATGCATGTTTGAAAGTTTCTAAATGTGCCATTTATATCTATTTATATAAGCAGAACATTCATAAATTGAAGGACTCCAGATAATACTCAAGGTCCTGTCGATATTTTGGGTTTTTATACTAAACAAGGTTATAAGTACAACTTTCACCTAGGAGTGAAAACGACAAATTATTTCAGCAAGACACAGTATGCATCATAGATTGTGCACCGGTATGAGACACCTACAACCATACCATTAAAACGCATACATCTGTTAACCTGTAACAAGCATAATAAAAACCAACGTGAGCTATCACTCTACATATATTGCTATTATATGCGCAGTTATCTTGTATCTTTTAATTAAGCACTGTTATCTGTTATGCTGCTACTGTATCACTCCTGACACCCTACCTGTCCCTCACTATTAAATGACATATTTTTCCTTTGTATCTCTCGCCAAGTTAACATAATGTACTTTTTATTTCTTTGCAGGTATCATGGCTCTCCCATTTGTCATCCTCTTACGCCTTTGTTGTCTTGCTTCCCTTCCTTTCCTTTCCTACACCTCTAGGTGCACCTCGTTTCTGGCTAAATCTCGCTTGGTTCAGTCCTGCCAAGCCCAAGGACTTCAATCTATCCCCTCAGATATTCCTCAGGAGACTCAAATTCTGCTCCTTAATTTCAACAACATTGAGTCTGTCACTCAGCATGCTTTCCCAGACCTCCAGTTCCTAGAGGCCCTCTCCCTTGGTGCCCAGAAAACCGTGGGCTCCTTCATCGTTGGGGAAGATGCTTTCCATAATTTGCCAAACCTGAGATCTCTTGACCTGGGAGGTAATCACAATCTCATCCTCCACCCTAAAGCCTTCAGAGGTTTATCTAGATTGGAAATTCTTCTTCTGGATTCCAATGGGTTGAATGAGTCTGTTCTTGAGTCTGATTTACTTATGGAACTACCTTCTCTCCAGAAAATTGACCTCTCTTTTAATCAGATACACAGACTACGTCCTGATCCCAGCTTCCTGCAGTTAAGTTCAATTTCTTCTATCCTATTGAAGTTCAACAAAATAAGTGCGCTATGTGGAGATGATCTCCGGTATTTGCAAGGAAGGAGAATTAAACTTCTTGATCTTTCCTCCAACCCCCTAAAATATGATAATCTCTCCTGCACCAATCCCTTTAAAAATATAACATTAGGAATCTTAGACATTTCATCAATGGCTTGGGATGCAAAAAAGGTGGAAAACTTCTTTAAAACAATTTCAGGGACACAAGTTGAAAATATCACAATGAGGTATAATGCTTTGCTGGGGAGTGGATTTGGGTTCCAAAATCTGAAAGACCCTAGCAAGGACACCTTTTCTGGGCTCAACTCCAGTAAAATACATATATTGGATCTATCCAATGGCTTCATTTCACATCTGGCCCCTCAACTCTTCTCTGGTCTATCTGAGCTGTTGTCCCTTGATCTCTCATCTAATAAAATCAGTGGGCTCAGTCCAGGGGCATTTTTAGGAATGGGAAGATTGGTGAGCCTCAATCTGTCAAACAACTTCCTAGGAGAGATCCTGAGTAATAGTGTTAAAGACCTAGAATCCACCTCTCTAAGAGCTCTGGATCTCAGTTCCAACCACATTGGAGTCATTCAGTATGGATCACTGGATGTCCTTGCTTCCTTGGAATCATTCAACATTAGAAATAATGCCCTTACAAGAATACCACCAGTCAAACTCCCACGCGCTACTCTTGTGATATTAAAACAGAACCGGATTACAGACACTTTTGGCCTCACTACCTTTTGTCCCCTTGTCACTTTCTTGGACCTTTCAAGCAATCGTTTGACAGACTTAAGGTCTTTGTGGGGCATCCTTGAGCTAAGGAACTTGCAATACCTACTGTTAGGTAGAAATCAACTTTCACATTGCTCCCCTGTAACTGCTGGCAAACATACAAGAACAAGTGGTTTATTGTTTTTAGACATGTCAAATAATGCCCTGGGGACAGTGTGGAAATCTGGTCAATGTGGGGATATCTTTATGGGCTTGGAACAACTCCACACATTAAATTTATCCAAGAATGACCTCACATCACTTCCTGAGAACTTGTTTAGAGGGTTGCTGAGTCTACACACTCTTGATCTATCTCAGAATCAGCTGACCCGCATACAGAGTGGACTATTCCTTGGACTTGGAACACTGAAAAGTTTGAATTTAGGGAGCAATACCCTGATTACACTGTCAGACTCAAACCTGGAGCCCCTGAGTTCCCTGAGAACAATAGACTTGTCAGAAATTACATTTGTATGTCACTGCGATTTAGGGAATCTCTTTGACTGGCTTTTGGCCAATAATGTAACTGTGCATTTTGGGGCTAATACGATTTCATGCATTCAGGCCACTCCAAACGTCTCAGACACTTCCCTGATCAACTTCTTAAGCAATTGTTAATAAATTATTTTTTCCTCTTAGTTTTAGTCATCTTTCTTTGTCATACATTCTGATTTATTCTCTAACATTCCTATTACTGCCATTGTACTTTGTGGCTCAATCTGCACTCTACCCACAAATCAGAAAGTAATGTGTAAGGGGAGAGGTTTAGGATGAACTATGTAAGCTCATGGAGCAGGATCCTCCACCCCTCTGTTCCTGTACGTCCAGTTGTCTGGTTACAATTACATTTCTGTTAGTCCACCCATTGTACGGCGCTACGAAATCTGATGGCACTATATAAATAATTAAATAATAATGATAATAATAATAATAACTAATCAAGTAAAATAAATTAGAAACATAAAACTTCAGAGGAATGTTCAACAAGTTTCTTCTACAATCATTGGGAGATCCGACAAACCTTCTGATATATTTTACTCAAATGTGTCAACGGATGCCTAGATGTTTGTTTTGGTTTCGCATCTTTTGCTATAGTAGTTTAGCTGAGGCTTGTGAGCTTTTTAAACATATCCCTAATGTGACTCAGAGACAGTGATAGTTAATAGTGAGCACTTGGTACTTGGTATCGCCATCTGATGTTCAAATATTCCCACTTGATGCAGATCTAAATTTGTTCGCCATGATTGTCATGTTGACTTGAGCAAGTGATCAACCACTACAACTTGAGTATTTATGGTCATGTGTATCAAGGGTAGTCAACAGCTCTCTAATGCTCTACCAAAGATCAGTCAAAGATCAATCAAGGGTTATCATGGATGTTGTAGTTCAAGAACAGCTGTAGAGCTACAGGTTTAATATCCCAATTTTTTTCAATAAATGTACAACAACGATAGGCATTATCCATATATGTTGCTGCTGCTGCTTTTAATATTGTAACTCGGGCATGTCAATGTATTTATCGGGAAGAGAAGTTGTTTACAATTTGTCATTTATCTTCGTAATATAAATTGGCATAATGTATGTAATGCCTTTATTTCTATTTATATTCTACAATAAATTTATGTTCATGGTTTTACATTCCAGTGTCTTTTTGTCTGTGTGTGCATTTTGTAAATATATTATATACATTTATCAAAACATATTTCTGATGGTTTAATTGTATTTTCTTTTTTTAAGTAGGTTTGCACTTAAGTTGCAAGAGAAAACAGGCTGCTCTCAAAAATTGTTCAAAAGTCTAGTCCAAGTACAATAGAATATAAATATCTGTAATTTAAGATCTATTAAAAAGATACTTTAAATTCCATAGTCACTGCAGTGTGTGTTTGGCAGCGTTCTCTGAACCAGCAACAAATGTTATAGCAACATTTATATAATATCATCCCAGTACAGAGGTAGGCAATCTTAGGCACTCCAGATGTTGTAGGCTGCAATTACAGCTATAATGCTGTCATGGGACCATAAAGACCACAGCATCTGTATTGCCTAGGGCAGTGATGGCGAACCTTTTTGAGCCTGAGTGCTCAAACTGTAATACATGCCAATTTTTTTCCCTCAAAGTGCCAAAATGGCATTTAAACCTGAATACTGAGGTTTAAGTTTAGAAAAAACAACTCATACAGTTGTCCGAACTAATTAACATCTCTGTGTGTGTATTAAGCAGTTTGTGTGTGTGCTCGGCAGTCTGTCTGTGTGTATTTAGCAGTCTGTCTCTGTACTTAGCAGTCTGTCTGTATTTAGCAGACTGCTGAGTACACAGTCTGCTGAATACACACACAGACTGCTAAATACACACACACACACAGACTGCTAAATACAGACAGACTGCTAAGTACACAGACAGACTGCTAAATACACATACAGACAGACTGCCGAGCACACACACACACACAGACAGCTGAGTGTACACACACAGACAGACTGCTGAGTGTACACACACTGCATTGAGGGGTACAGTGTATGTGTTTGTGTGTGGAGTGATGTGTGTGTGTGGGGCGGTGATGGGTGTGGGGTGGTGTGTTTGTGTGTGGGGGGTGGTGTGTGTGTGGGGAGATGTGTGTGTGTGTGTCTTTTTGTGGGGTGATATGTGTAGGGCAGGGGTGCTGTGTGTATGTCGTCCCCCCTCTCCCCCCCTGTTTTCTTTCCCCCATCCCTCTCTCATTTTTTTTCTCCCATCCCACACTCAGTTTTCTCCCCCCATCTCTCCCTCAGTCTCCTTCCCCTCCCCCCATCTCTCCC